AAAATATCTTGGAAAATCAGATGTATTATGAAAAAGAAATAATTTGGCAAACCCAAAGAAATAACAGACCAAAAAAAAGTTACAAATAAAACCATGGAAATCTTCACAATTCCCTGAAACTAATGTAACTAAAACGGAGATACTTCTGTCCAGAATTTCTAATTTTGGAATGCTAAAGCTTTTTGTGGTTTGGAGGATGTAAATATTGCCCATCAGTTTCCTTACCTGCTCTAGCTCCAAAAGGCTTCTGCTCCTTGCTCCTCCAAATCTCCCAGAGAATGCTCAGCAAACTTTAAAAGTTGCAGAGGAAATGCACTCTCAGTATTAGTTTGTGTACTCAGAGACACGAGTCTATATAATGTAGAAATTGCCTGATAAACCCTGTGGTTGAAGGAGACTAATCTGTAATGCAGACCCCAATTTTGGAATTCTGTACTCAGTGGTCTTGTACTGGGCATGATTCCAAGTCACTGAGGCCTTTTCCTTGAATCTCTTGGAGCATGAGAGACATGGCTTGGTTTCAAAATCTGTGACTTCTTCAGATAATTTCCTGAAAATATCATTCCATCTGATCCTGCCCCAGCACTTCTGGAATCATCTGTCCCTTAAATTTTCCAACAGCACTTCTCCCTCACTATGATTATTTCCAAAGCACCTATGTGAATGAGGCAGTGCTCCTGTGGACCTTTATAGTTTGTTCAACAGGACCAACACTCGTCTTCCTGATGAGATCTTTGAAAACATTGAAATCAATCATTATCTTGAGGCTATAAGATTGAGGAACCCTCCAAAATTTTGTTAGGAGGTCTGGCTGTATATCTTGGAGGTGTATACCATGCATGGTTTGTGACCTTTCACTGAGTATTGCTAAAATTGTACCCTTGTTAAAAGGATTTTGTCCGAGTTGTATATTGTAATTTTCAGGATGCTACCCCTCAACACTAGTATGGTATAATGGGAGCAATATCTCCAAATGACTCTCAGCATGGTTTGTTGACCTGGTATATCTGCTCATGTGTGTTGTTCTGCATGCAGTCAGTTTTCTACCAGACTTATCCATGGTGTTGTCACAGAAATAAAAAACACCATGAATGTGTTTCAATGAATGTGCCATATGCTTCTATTATTTAGATATAACCTAAGACCATGCTCTAGCTCCAAACCTCTACATCTGACTCTCTCTACTATACCCAAATTAGTGTATTTTTTATATCCTAGGAAGAAAGCCTACATAAATTAACATTAGTGAAGGTGCTCCTGCATAGACAATTTTTTTTTTAGTACACTGAATTTTCCTTTTGGAAAAAATCCAAGTCTTTACTTGCATAAAATGTTGTATTTGAATTGAGAGGAATTTATATAAGTTTCATGTTTTTACTACAAAATATCATGCTTTTATAAATTTAGGAAGATTTTGATGTTACAACTTTCATATTATAGAAATTTTAGGGAACTGTTTTCATCCATGATATGGATTTTTTGACAAAATGTTGTATCATGAAAATCTAACTTGTTCAAATTAAGTGCCAAGTATTACCCCAA